GGGCAGGGATTGTGCCCCTGTACTTGGCAATGGTGACGCCGCACCTTGAATCCTGTGTTCAGTTTTGGGCCCCTCACCACAAGAAGGACATTGAGGTGCTGGAGCAGGTCCAGAGAAGGGCAACGAAGCTGGGGAAGGGTCTGGAGCACAGGTCTGACAGGGAGCAGCTGAGGGAGCTGGGGTTGGTTAGTCTAGAGAAGAGGAGGCTGAGAGGAGATCTTATCACTCTCTACAACTGCCTGAAAGGAGGGTGTAGTGTGGTGGGTGCTGGACTCTTCTCTCAAGTAACAAGTGATAGGACAAGAGGAAATGGCCTCAAGTTGCACCAGGGGAGGTTTAGGCTGGATATTAGAAAAAATTTCTTCACTGGAAGAGTGGTCAGACATTGGAACAGGCTGCCCAGGGAAGTGGTGGAGTCACCATCCCTGGAGGTGTTCAAGAAATGTGTAGATGTGGTGCTTAGGGACATGGTTTAGTGAGTTAGGTGGTGTGGGTTGACAGTTGGACTTGATGATCCTTGAGGTCTTTTCCAACCTTATTGATTCTGTGATTCTATGCTAAACCTTGTAGCTGCCAGACTCTCCTAGATGAGAGTTTTGAATGCCCCATATCTTATCTAATTGCGGGATTAGGACGTGACATGTTCCCAGTCAGTACCACCTGGTTTGCCATCTTCAAGAAGCTGCTCAGTTTCCACAGGTTCAAGCTCTGTTAAGATTGGTGTAAGAGACTTTTGCCTCCATGACCTTCAGCTTGCACGCAGTAAGAGAATCTCTTAAAACCTTCTGCCTCATTTTTGTGCCTTTGTATTTTGGAATTACTTGTTTATACCATAAAAGATAACTTCATTTTGAAAATTCAGTTCCCTGAATATCTGAAGGAGGGCACTCACAGCCTTGTTCAATACTAAGCCATTTGCTGACCATCACAGCTGGGAAATTGTTTCCGTGGTGCCAAGGGAATTGCTAGAAAGCATGCCAAATGGCTTTCATGTCCTCTAGCAAGGGACACTTCTTTAATTTCTCTCCTATTGTTTTGTTCTTTTGTGTGAATTGTTTGGAGTAGTAGTGGCATTAATGATATTCAAAAGCAGGATTTCTAAAATGTGCCCCCCACCCCAAACCAGTTCGCTATCTGTCTGACAAGACACACTCAGCTTTGTGAAACGGCAGGATGATGTTTGTTTCAGTGTGGCCACCCGTTGGGGATTTGCAGGAATACTGCAGCAAATCATCCTGCATGCAAGGCTGACCTCTGGGAGGCTAACAAATTGAGGTGAGCCAGCTGGAGCGATAGGACATTGCCGACAGACAGAGAGCATGCTCAGACCTGGGGGAGAAAGGTAGTTCAGTCTGCGGATGGTGCACGGGTTACTGTGCTGAGAGCTGTTAGATACGGTTTTTTTCATTTTCTTTATGGTGGTGGGGGAAGAAGAGGACTGGAGAGTATTCGTTCTCCTGCAAGGCATAGCTTTAAGGTGTCTTCTTTTTTCTTTCTCCTGTGAAAGAGAGGCACTGGATAACATTTCCTGTGATTTAGCAACACCAGGTATGCGTGCATGTGCTGAAACACTAATCTGCCAGTGATAGCACTTCCAAGATTAAAAAGGTTGCAGATGCTCTGAATTACTGTGGGTTTTTTTGCAGGGTGTTATTGTAACTGTGCTCTGTTTGCTGTGCTGATCACATACGGCTCTGAATTCAGTTTTGTTGGCACTCCTGGCTGCAGTGTACTTTGGGGGGAAGGGAGGGTTAGCATGTTTTTTGATGCTATCTCCCTGCTCCCCCGGCACCTTCTCACTGAATCTCTTCTCTATGGCTGTGCATGTGTGGGAAGGAGGTCAGTGGTTCATTTGTAATCCCAGGTCTGTGTAGTCCCTCTTTGTTTCACTGGTGGTTTGCTTTAACATTTTTAAATAAAAGTCTCATGGGGACAATATCTTTAATTTGGACTAAATTCTGTAGGTTTTCAGAAATTTATTTCTCACTGGACAGGTGCTCCTTTGTGATTGCTTTTTTTTTTTTTTTTTTTTGCCCTCCCCTAAAAACATGCTAATATAGAGCTTGTGGTAACCAAGGAGTGATTTTCGCTGTTCTTATTGGCTGTGCTGTGCTCCGAACAGTTTCGGCTCCTGCTTGGAATTTGCAGCACACAGGAGCAGTCCCAGGCACCATGCTGATGGGAAGCAGGGAAAGCTCAGACTGTAAATGCCGCTAAGCACCAGTCCCAGTATCCAGATAACACAGGCACTCTTCCCATTGGAGAAGAAAGAAAGAAGGGATAAAGTGCAGAGAATAACAAATGGCAGCTAAAGCCCAAAGGCATCGTTGGAGAGCCTGAAGCTCATCTTATTCAGCACTTTGGGATTTCAAATCGCATTCTTTTAAATTCATTTTTGCACCATTAGTAAATTTTCCCCTCAGCCACCCCAACTCTATCTTTGCTTTAAGTAGACCACTGAAGTAAGAGAAACCTGGTGTGCTCTGACACATTTTTGTTCCTGACAAAGGTATTTTGCTTACAGAGTAACAGCAAGAACGCAGGCAAACAGAGGGTTTTTTTAGTCATATGACAGTGCTGTTAATGTGAATATAACCTGATAGTTTTCAGTAGGATACTCAGCTGAACAAAGGTCAGCTGAAAGAAACTCTGTCTCTTAAGCTTGCCCATCTGTCTAGCCATGGTTGAGTACCTTGAACTTTCATCTTTAGGCTTGGAACTGTTGGAAGGTGAAGTCTTGAGAGTTGAAAGAAAAAATTTTTTTTTTTAGCTCATTTTTCTTGCATCTACCACCTTATTTATCTTCATCAGAAATGTGTGATATTTAGGGGAATTTTCTGGAGATCAGGGCTAGTTTTTTGTTTGAGGAAAGGATTTCATACTCCATTTAATTCTGGACAGAGGAGAGATCTAGGAAATGCAGACCTTAAAAGCCCAAGAAGTATTTTTCTTAGTTTCATGCTTTTAGCTCAGTTTCGTAGTTTGCATATATGCATTGACTACTTAGTGTTGGAAGTTTGGTTTTTTTACCTGTTCTTTTGTAGATCAAGACAGCAGTATCAACAAGTACTAAATTATATTTAATTAGAGTTTTGCTTTCTATTCCTAACTTATGCGAAACCATGAAAACTGAAGATAAAGCTAATTTTGATTACAACTGCCTGTAGATACCTGAAGTTTTTGTCAAACTGTTTTTTTTAAATAGTTATATTTTGATTTTATTTTTTCTGAATAAAGTTTGTATTTGAAACTCCACTTGAGGCTGCAGAGTTAAGGTATTCTTATTTTTCATATTCCCTTTTTGTATCAGGCTTTGTTAATGGTATTTGTAGCTTTAACTGCTGGGTTTGCTCCCTTTAAGAATCTGCTCTTTTCCTGTTTAAAAAGTCAGCACTTCTACACTTGGCTGCTTTTTACAAAGAAAATGTTCCAGTATATCAGTCATTCAGTGTACCATCCTTTCTTTAATGTGATATATACTGTGAAAGATATATGTGTCTCATTAAACAAATAGAGCGTATAAGATGATAACAGCCTTTTGGGCTGTGGGGATTGACTTGCTTGTAGTTCTGTGGGAATCTGTGACAGATGAGAATAAAAGCCAATTCTTGGCTGCTGAATCCTAACTCCCTCTCCTTCCAATCGGGAAAGTTGCCTTCTAGCAACTTCTGCTTTGAGCATGAATGAAGTAGGTATTTAAAACTGCATGTATCACATATACTGCATCCTTAGCTAAGCCTTTTGCATCAGGGATGGGAGAAGAAAGACATTTTGCAGGGGAAGTGTGAAGTGCAATATTTGCACGCTTTACTTTTCCTGTGCTGGTCCTGGAAAGCCAGCCTAGTAAGAGATGGATCCAGGGGCAGGGAGTGCTAATGGGGAAGATATCCTTGAGGAGGGAATATCTGCTCCTACCCCTCCCACTGTGTTGCCGTAACAAGAAGAAGGGTCAGGGTCCCCTGCCTGTTTCTTGCCCGTGTAGCTCTGCCCCAACTCCTTCCCTGTCCTGTGGCAGGAGCAGCCACAGTCTGCTTCCAGTTGTGCCACGTTTCTGGGAACTGTGGAGACAGCTCTGCGTGGACAGTGCTGCCGTGACTGGCAGGCTCTGCGGGGAGCTGGTCAGCTGAGCCAAACCCAAGTTGGCTTCTGTGTAGTGGTATTTCTCTCTGTGCACAGAGTGGTGATGCTCTCTGGAAATGTGTGTCCTTCATGATTTTTTTTCCCATTTTGTGAGGGTTTTTTAGCCTCCTGTAGCTCTGGAAAACTGAGCATTGGCTTGGGAAGTGCTTGGTCAGTTGGTAACAAAAGCTTGGCGAGGCCTAAGTAGACAAAAAGAGCACTTCCCATTTTGTTAATACCTGCAGCACTGAGTGATCCCCCTTTAGACGTGCTGCTCACTCCAGTGACCCTTTTTCTCCCTCATCAAGTTCATGTTTTGTTCCTCTGGGTGTCTTAGGAGTGTATGGTTTTGTCTTGTTTGTTGTTGTTATTGTGTGGGCTTTGTCCATCATATTAATAGCTGTAAAGTAGTGATTCATCCTACCCTAGCTTCTTAAATAAAAAAAGAACAACAGAACTCATCTCTTAAATGAATCCAAACAGTCCCTTATGCCAACTGCCTATTAGTAGAAATTCAGCTCTCCCATGCCACCCGCTCTCATCTTCTCTACATGTTAACAAGAGATGAAGAACAGCTTCCCCATCTATACTTCCTGTTGCTTTCCCACTTCCTGAGGGTGTTTATAATATCAGATGACCAGCAGTTAACAGGGAGAAGGTGCTATTCTGTTCAAATTTCCAGTAGAGTACTATGGACCTGTGAGATGCTCAAGGTGTCTGCCAGAGGTGCCTGCTGAGCACACCAGATGCATGCTCCTGAAGGCTTTACCTGCTCGCTTGTAGTCAATGCTAGTTAGAGAAGCAGCAGCTGGGCTGAGAGGATGAAGCTGTGACCCTTTTGCTAAGTGAGCAGTGGTGAAGGAAGACAATGGGGTAAGCTCTTCATGCCTGTGATCTCTTGAAAAAAGAGCAAAGATGAGCTGACCAAATACAGAGTCCCTCCCACAGCCTCTTAGCCTCTGGAGCAGCATCCATGTAGGCGGAGCTGCAAGCCTTGGGAAGTGCTCTTATTTCCTTTGCAAAGTCTTGAGCTGTCCCTATACCAGTGTGTTTGTTGAGCTCCCCATCTTTGACCGTATGGCACTGTAAGTCAGCTGTCACACTACCCCATCAGCATTACTGCCAAGGAAATCTGCTGCTTCTGTCTCCTCCTCTCACTCCCGCTCCTCTCCTGCAGCCTGCCTCTGTTGTGAGTCCTAAAGGGCACCTCCCATCCCCTCCCATGGGGCAGCACTCTGCCAGCTTGGCAGCGAACAGCTCTGTGCTGCTTTTACGTACGTGTCTCTTCTGGACAGGCTCTAGTCTATCAGCTGTCACGTCTTCTGTTGTTGAAGGATAGTGCTTTAGCATTTCAAAGCAGAGAGTAATAAAATTTCACTCCATGCGATTTCTTTGGTAACTGGGGTGTATTGCTTGCATGAAGCAAAGCTGTGGTTATCCCAGTGTCACTGGGAAGTCAGAGCGTGAATGAGTATGGTACGAATGGGGTGGATTGTCTGTGGGTAGCTGGGGGTGTGAACGACCTAGATGCTGACCTATATATAGAAAGAAACAGAACAGAGGACTCTGCTATTAAGGAAAGTAGCAGTGTGTGCAGATCGGCACTTCTGCAAGTGCTTTTCAGTTCTTAAGATGTTCTCTGATGACACCATGGGAGAGGAGTGGCATCTAGACCCATTTTCTGAGGGAGATTTAGTAATGAAATTCCTTTTATTGTGAAGCAGCTGTCTTTCAGGTGGAAGAGTAAATGCTTTCACCTATTTCACAGTTATCTGCTTCTTCCTGGGAAAGTTTCCCATCCCAGGACGATTGCTGCTGACAGCACTTAATGATTGACCTCAGCCTGGGGGGCTGAGGAACCAGGGGACCTGGAGAGTGATTGCTTGCCATTTCCCCCTTGGTGCAGCCTCTCCTGGGTCTATAAAAGCAAACAGCAGGACAGCTTGTTGCTATTTATGTTCTGTCACTCCCTGAAGGACCAAAGATTTTAGGTCTCTAAGGTCTGTGTTCACTGAAAGTGTCAGCTTAAAAAAAAAAGGTGGATGATAAAATGTGGGGAAACAGGCAAAGAATCACGACTGTCCCCAGTGTACCTGTGAAATTCTCCTTTCAGTTCTGCCTGTGACACCCTTTCCTGTCCACATCCCCTGCTTTCCATCAAAAGCAGCTTTCAGCCAAGCAGCCTGAACCAAGATTTATGAATTGGCAATGAGGAGCAGCAATGAAGATGGATTCCTTTAGCATTGCTAGCTTTTAACATTCATTCCTGACACCTGGTTGGCTAAGGCATGTATGCTCACTGCAGCTAAGTGCAGGGAAGTGAAAGAGCTGCAGTGAGGGAAGAGATGGAGGAGGGCCTTTAAGGTGCTCTTTATTAAAAAGCTGAGTTGTTCCTTTGTAGACATTTGGCAGATGTTGCTGTAGTGGAGTCTGAAATGAAAACTGCTAACCTGTGAACATTGTCTGCATCCATCAGGCTGCATCTCTGAAGTGCCTCTTGTGCCCTTCCCTTGGGGCTGGAGGGGAGACAACAAATCAGTCAGGGGTGAAACATTACAACAGGCTGTTGCCAAGGAGGCCTCTTTGGCTCAAGGGATTTGTAATGGTTGGTGGAGCTCTCCACTACTGAGATGCCCGTGAAATGCAGGTGGTATCAGTGGTGTTTTTATGGGCTGCTGGCTTCTGATGCCTTTGAAACACCCACACATATACAGTCTCCCTGCCATACTGGAATAATAAAGAGGCCATGTAGTTTTCCTCCTCTGCCAAGTTCTTTCGACTCGCATTGGCTCTGTTGAACTTGTAGGTGCTTTGTTCTTCTGACCTGCAGTAGTTAACTTTCAGAGTGCCCACAGGCTGGCCTTCATTTGAAGTGTGTGCTTGTGGCGGAGGACTTGATTGTTAAAGGTTGCCTTCACATACTGACTAGCAGGCTTTGCACGTGACTGCTTGAGCTGGGCTTGGTCCTTGCCTTGGTAATGCTGCTGAAGTCGTTTAAAGCTGTGCTCGTGAGATTGGAGGTCTGTAGTGGAGAGGTTATTTGGAGAGTTGGATGCTATCATTAGATGTCTTTTAAAGGTAGTGAAGAAGTAAAATGAAGCTTTGGAAATCTGATACCAACAAAATAACTTAAGATCTTTCTCCGTGAGTAATTTATTTTCCTGAAAACTGGTTTGGTTGTATTAGTAGAGCCTAACCAAGTGATACACCTCTGTCCCTGGTAGGTTTCCATTCAAGGTTGTCCATGGAACAGCCCTGATGGAGAGTCGCAAAGCTATCAGGAGCAACAGTCATCCCCTATTATAGAGCAGGAAAGATCGAGAAGTGATGTGACAGCCATAATTCGTCTGTGCAGGATATCTGTGGCACCTGGGACAAGATCAGGGTTAAATTGCTGTGGTGGAAAAAAAGGCCAAGCGTTGGGAAACACCGTATTGTAGTCCTTCATGCCTTTGTTGCTAGAGACTGGCTGAAGAGAGGAATAAGTATTGAGAATGAGATAGATAAGCATTTTTGGGGAGTGGTTTAGGGAGAGCTGATCCTGCCCTGGTGATTAGATGACAACTCTGGGTCCCTTCCCATTTCTTTTTCCATGGTTGAAATCAAAACATCTTTTTAATTTGCTGCTTGCTTTAACAGAGTTGCTAAGTGAGACAGTTTTTCAGACCACTTGCCAAAGGCGGTGGATTTCATTTCTGTTCCATTTGAGTAGCTAGAGCTGCTCTGAAATTGGCGTGAATTTGTTGCTCAGAACCCCAGAGACCACTTTTTGAATGTGTGGCTTACAGCTAGCACTTGTTTCTTTGGCATTATTCAGTCTCCTACATACCTTCAGTTCTTCCTGAGACAGGGATCCTGCAGGCTGTTGGGATCTCACAAGCTTATAGGGATCCCTTCTGACTTCATTGAATTCCATGAATGATTCTCTATTCAGTTCCAAGCTGCATGAACCAGATTTCAGGATTAAGCTTTTAGGCTGCAATATCTCTTTTCAAAATAACTCCCTTGGTGACAGAAGAGGTGTTTGCATTGGTCCTAAATATGCCTTGCTGTCTGCCTCCACTTTGCCATGTAAGAACAAGTGTCTTTGGGTTGAAATGCTGAGGGACTGTTGCTAGGGATGTCAGTGCATGTGCTTGAGACACTGCTTTTTTTTCCCTCCCTGCAAACTTGCATCAAAGGGAGTTTAAACTGCAGTTAGAAACAGTCTAATCAGGTATATGTACCAGTTAGAAATTTCTCCTCCTAAAGTTCCCTGTGAGTCATGGCTGCAATTACTTACAGCCTGACTAGCAGTGAACCTTGATGCATAATAAAAATTGGAGCCCATAAATACTGTAGGTGAATCATTATCTCAATTGAAGTTCACATTTGAAAATATAATCAATACTCTGATATAAGCCAGTAGTGTTTCTACATAAAAAGGAAACAGTGGCAGGATCTCTCCCATAATAGAAAAAGAAACAGGGAGGCCTTGGAGCAGCACAGAAGAGATTCTCAGGTTGGGATGGGAAAACATCAACACTGGATACACTTCAAATGTATTACATGCCCATTTGTACAAGAGTTGCCTGTGCTGGTGCAAGTCAGGCTCCCACTAAATGAGGGTTTGATTGGCTTAATGAAACATCAGTTCCTTGCATGAAGAGGGGAGCTCTTCTCAATCCCATGCCAATATTTCTTTTGGAAGACAATGGCAGCTCCTAGCCTTTGATCCCAGATTGCAGCCAAAGAAACAACTGAGTGACGTGGGAGTGTCCCACAGGGCAGTGCGTAGACCTGCAAGTCCTCCCCAAACCCCACAGTAAAATTAAATTGAATGTTATGTTCACCAGTTCACATTTCATATTGGAATGGAGTGTAGCAAAATCTATACTTGGCAGTATTCCTTGTACTAGTATTATCTGCACAGTAAAGGAGAGAGGCAGTGTTGGGTACTCACAGACATGTGGAAGGCAGATGAAGAGAAGGAGCTAGGTCTCCCAAGCCCTGTGCGAGTGGCCCGGTGATTGCAGCGCTCTCTTTCCTCTCACTGTTGGAGTGGTCTGCAAAAAGCACAGTGAGACAAAGTCCCTGAGAACCTACCATTTTTTTCTGGCAAAGCTTCATCAAGCTCATCTTCAAACTCTTTTACTTTTTCTTCTCCAAAAGGGTAGAAATTGAAATGTGAGAGGAAGCCTTACTGTAGAGCAGCTCCCAATTCTGTTTGCTTTATTTTTTTTTTTTAACAGTTTTGAGCAGTACTTTGACACTCTTTTCTTCTTTTCCCTCATTCCCTGGAAGGGGGAAAAATTGCTGAAAAAAGCCTAAACTCTCTTGAATAGTCCGTAAAATGTGATGTATGGTGGAGCTGTAAACCTGATGTTTAAATGGTTCCTTTCTTGTTTTAGTTTCCACAGGTCTTTGCCCTCACCATGTCAAGAAGTGTTAGTGATGTGTTCCCTCTCCGCTGCATTCCCCGCCTGTTATCCTGCTAGGATCTAGCTACAGAATGAACATAGCAGCTGTGTTTAATGCCCTGCTCGTGTCTGTCCTTGCTGCTGTGCTGTGGAAATACATCAAACTGCGAGAGCATGCCTACATGGTTGAACAGGAGTTGGCCGTCACACGTCAGTCTCAGGAACTCTCTCAGGTTCAGATTGACTACCATGCAGCTGTCCAAGCACTGGTGGAGGATGGTACAAGGATGGTGTGCACTGGCAGGATGCACACTGACCGCATCTGCCACTTTGAGTCCCTCTGCTACTCTACTGAGGCTGAGGAGTTTGTCTACTTTCACAGCAACTCCTCAGTCATGCTGCCCAGCCTGGGCTCCCGGAGGTTCCAGCCAGCTCTGCTCGACCTCTCCTCAGTAGAAGATCACAACACCCAGTATTTCAACTTTGTGGAGCTGCCAGCTGCTGCGCTGAAATTTATGCCAAAACCAGTCTTCGTGCCCGATGTGGCACTGATTGCTAACAGGTTCAACCCAGACAACCTGATGCACGTCTTTCATGATGACCTCCTCCCCATTTATTACACTATGCAGCAGTTCTCTGATTTAGATCTGGAGGCGCGGCTCTTTTTCATGGAAGGGTGGAGTGAAGGCGTTCACTTTGACCTCTACAAGTTACTGAGTAACAAGCAGCCACTTCTCAAGGAGCAGCTTAAAACCCTGGGCAGGCTCATCTGCTTTACTAAATCGTATGTGGGACTGTCCAAAATCACCACCTGGTACCAGTACGGATTTGTCCAACCACAAGGGCCGAAGGCGAACATCTTGGTTTCTGGTAATGAGATCAGGCAGTTCACCAAATTCATGATGCAGAAGCTGAACATCAGCTTGGAGGAAAGCTCCAGTGAGGAGTACATTGTAGTGTTCAGTCGAACAATCAACAGACTTATCCTAAATGAGGCAGAACTAATCCTGGCTCTCGCTCAGGAGTTTCAGATGAAAACCATTACCGTCTCTCTAGAGGAGCATTCATTTTCTGACATTGTCCGGTTGATCAGCAATGCGTCCATGCTGGTCAGCATGCATGGGGCCCAATTAGTCATGTCTCTCTTCCTGCCAAGAGGTGCCACAGTGGTGGAGCTCTTTCCTTATGCTATCAACCCTGAACACTATACCCCTTACAAAACCCTGGCAACCCTTCCTGGCATGGACCTGCAGTACATTGCCTGGCAGAACACTGACAGGGAGGACACTGTTACCTACCCGGACAGACCTTGGGATCAGGGTGGGATTGCTCATCTGGACAAAGCTGAGCAAGAGCGCATCATTAAGAACACAGAGGTGCCACGGCACCTCTGCTGCCGCAACCCTGAGTGGCTGGTCCGTGCCTACCAGGACACACAGGGG